ATATACTTAAAATAGGTATTTTAGAGTATTTGTTTGTTAGTCCAATATCTCTCATTGGTAGGTCTGTTTCTATTGACTGATTTTCTTCTTGGTTATGTGATACACTTTTTATTTGCTTCTTGACATATGTGTGGTGAAGAATTAAATTTATCCAAAGAGTGATCGAGTCTTTATGCTAGCCACTTGTGGATAACCTCTAAACCCTTGGGATGAAGAATTTGGTTGGTCTTTCCCTGTTTTAGAAAGTGGCCTTTAAATCCTTGGAATTTCCTGAGTAATAGGAGTATCTTTGCTATTAATGGAGGCCCTTATAGTTTATTCCAGGTAGATGAGTCAGAATGAGGTCTGGCCATGCCAGAATGACCAACAGTGTGATTAGAAGGTTAGCATTTTGAGCCGCATAATATCAGCCTGACCTCTGAGGAGCGAAGGGGGCTGGAAATTGAGTTCAGTCACCTGTCCAATGATTCAACAGATTGTGAATGAAACCTTAATAAAAAATATGGACACCAAAGCTTGGATGAGCTTTCTTGGTAGGCAAGACACTGCATATGTTACACACTGATATACTGAGAAGGCAGTAGATCCTGGCTCCATGGGGAGAGGACAAGAAAACTTCATGTTGAGACCCCCCCAACATAATCTCTTCTTTTGACTGGTTCTGATTTATGTCTTCTTGCTATAGTAAAGCTGTTATCATTAATATAGTGCTTTCCTGAGTTCTGTGAGTTACTCTAGTGAATTATTGAATCTGAAGGATTAGTGGGAACCCCCACATTTGTGGCGAGTTGTTCACAAGTATTGTGGTCTGGAGACCCCTGAACTTACTGTGTCTGAAGTGAGGGCAGTCTTGTGGAGGACTGTGTCCTAAACCTATGAAGTTTGGCTTAACTTGAGTAGGTAGAGTTGGAAGTCAACACAACATGTCTAGCAACTTGGGGGATGCTGAATATTGTGAAGGCTACATTGTTACTTGTCTGTTTTAACTATCTTCCTTTAAAGAGCATTGGACCTTATTAAATTACTTGTGACTCATCTTGATCTTTTTGGGGGAATTGATTTAACAATTTTTTAGGAATGTGTGGAGTTCATCTTGCAGTGTCCTATCTTTTTGCCTTTTCATACTATTCATGGGGTTCTCAAGGCAAGAATACTGAAGTGGTTTGCCATTCCCTTCTCCAGTGGACCACATTCTGTCAGATGAACTTCCAGATGTTCAAGCTGGTTTTAGAAATAGCAGAGGAACCAGAGATCAAATTGCCAACATCTGCTGGATCATCGAAAAAGCAAGAGAGTTCCAGAAAAA